TACAACACAATTACAGGACACAATTCAACAACCTGAAGATATTGCCAAAAAACAAGATAACAAAATTAGCACAATGGCTAAAAAGATAGCCAAACTTGAAGATAGAGTTAGAAGAAATCATTTAAGGCTCATGGACATCCCTGAATCCATGTCTCAGGATGAATTGGAAATGTATGTAATAGAGTTCATAAAAACACTCGGCATAGACATATCAAGGTACTGAGAACCAAGAAATCAAAAACAAATTGGGATACACTCCGAAAATTATTATTCATATGATTACAGCACACTTGTATGTGAATCCCCTGAAAAACTTGAAAGCTGGCTTAAAGAAAAGAAAAAAAAGAGACGTTAACTTAATTATATCGATGTGAGAAAGGGAAGAGAAAGGGTAGAGAGGAAATATATATAATTATATATGTTATGACTGCACCGTATACTATAGACACAGCTCACTTTTAAATTAAACAATTTTTAATGCACCAACACATTAAAATCGAGCAGGTAGAGAGAGAAGAAAGTTGAAGGGAAATAAAAATGGGAAGGTGAATTTTTTTGAAAGAAGACTTGCAGTATTATTCACAGTTATAAATTACTGATCCCTATGAAGATTATATAAAGGAAGGGAGGGAGAGGGAGGGGAGAGAAGGGAAAGAAGGAAGTATGTAAGGGCACAAGAATGTATACTACATTAAATGTTAGATTACCACATAAATTTAGACAACATTAATCAACACCTAACATAGACACATTAAGAAAGAATTAAAATATAATAAATGACACACTAATGTGCATATAAATTATATGTAAATCTACTTTTTTTTTTCCTCTTTCTTTTTTCTTTCTTTTCTCTTCCCTCGGATGGGATAAGAATTTTCATGGATTTATTCCCCCACCCCCCAAAAGGAGGGAAACGGGAGACTGATTAAGACCACCATGCTGCAGAGCAGTTTCTAGGTCTTGGCAATCTACTTATAACCTATGCCATCTTTATGTAGAGCAGCAATTCTTTTTTTCAGATCCTCAGAGAATTCTTTGCCATGAGGTGCCATGATGAACTTCCAGAGAGCGATAATACCAAATTTAACACACCTGCTCCACTTTCACACTTGAGACCTTGAACACTAACTAAATATATATTTTTGGACATTTCCACTTAGGGGTGTACTCACTTTTGTTGCCAACGGTTTAGACATTAATGGCTGTGTGTTGAGTTATTTTGAGGGGACAACAAATTTACACTGTTATACAGGTTTTACACAACAAAACAAAACAAAACAATACTATCCCCTCCCTTACCATTTACATTGTAGCAGAGTGTCATTTCTTCAGTGTTGTCACATGAAAAGATTTAATAAAACATTTACAAAAAATGTGAGATACTGGATGTGCAGGAAACTCATTGGAGAAAGAGAGATAATATTGATTTAAAATCTAAAGTTTACCTGATGGTTATGTCTGCGTCTCTCGAGCATAAAAAAAACAAAAAAAACAAAAAAAACTATTTCAATTTCAATAACATTTATAAGGAACAAGATAATGAGGGGTGATATATTATTGTTATATGTGAGATCGATAAACTTATACATTAGTCAACCTTTATGCTCCAAACTAGTCATCGATACCATTTATAAGTAATGTTTTAAAGAGTATACAATATCAAAATTCAAATTAAAAATAATTTGAATAGTCAATTGCGCCTAGAGTAAATATAAAAACATAGGGGGAAAAAAAAGTTACATATATATAGCCTTTGGGCTGATCACCTAAGGTGTTCAAATTTAGAATACTATAAATACCACTTGTTGATTTATATATATTTTTTGAATATTATGGGTGGTGATGTATAAATAAAAAAAAGTGCTGGTATCCCAAATGCAGCTCTTAATGGGAAATATCCTTAGTATTTTCTATATATAGAATATTAATACCCAGAAACAGAAAAGAGCTTTAAGTAAAAAAAATTCCTCTGTTCTGAATAAAAAACAAGCAAGTTAAAATGAAAATAAACCATCAAACATATATGGAGCCAGTATCTTTAGACAACATAACCAGGCTCCCATAATTAGAAATATAAGAATCAACACCTTTGCACCAATTAGGCAATTTCGAATGCACATAAAAGAAGCCCCATTCATGAGGTGTTTAACAGTGTCTCCCTGAGGAAGTGAGCGCAGAGCTCACAAAACATGTAGGAGTGTGAACACAGCGAACACCGATACCATCACCTCCTAGGACGATCTGAGTGCCCAGATCACGATCCTCCTGCTTCAATCTACACGTGCAAACTGGAGAGACGTTTAAAGCAGGGAGACGAGCACACTACACAGGATCCATTTTCAGCACAAGTACAGTATGCAGCCACGCTAAACAGGATTCCTGAGACTGTTTCAATCTTTCAGCTTACTTTGTAGCATCTAAAGGGATCCCTTAGATAGAATATACTACAAAGCTATATGTCCCTCTGCGCTCTTTTCTGTTTCTGGGTAGTAATGTTTTAAAGAGAATAGAAATGATTAAACAAGGGATTCTGTTGCTTTTAGGAGACTTCAATTGCATACTCGATCTATTATTGGATTAAAAAAACTATTACTGGTCAGATAAAAGGTAAAGGAATAATAAAACATTCCCAGAAATTCAGACAATTTATTCAAAATTACTCTTTACTAGATATTTGGTGAATCTTTCATCTTTTAGATTTGGATTTTACTTGTTTTTCTAAGTCTTATTTTGCATACTCATGCATAGATCTAATTTTGGGTGATTTCAAACTAGCCCATCAAACAAAAATTATTAAAATAAATGAGACTACATGGTCAGACCACAATGCGGTTATTATAGAGATTAAGGATTCTTTTTCCAATCCTAGACCAGAATGGAGGCTAAATAACTATATTCTCTCAAATCCAGATAATATAAAATATATTAAAAAACAGACTGAGTATTTTTTTTTAAGAAAATCAAACTGAAAAGATTTCTTCCTCAGTCACATGGTGTGCAAACAAAGTAGTAACCAGATGACAATTAAATTAGGATATGAAGATAAAGAATTTAGAGAAAAAGATCTAACTGACTTATATAATCAATTGTATAATCTCTCAATAGACAATAAGGCATCCCCTTCTGAGTCACTGTCAAATAGAGTTATTGCCTTACAAAACACGCTAAATTAACTTTTAATAATTAAAACAAGTAAAACACTAGAAAGGTTAAAAGCCACATTCTATTCCAAAGGTAACAGGGCAGATAAAATGCTATCTAATAAACTAAAAAATAAAACTAAACTAAATAAAATTTCTAAAATTATATATAAGACCGAGACATGTTTATCTCCAGAAAAGACTGGGAAGGCTTTTAATGATTATTATTATTATCGGTTAAACAATCTAACCTGCACTCAAAGGGACCCTAAGGAATACTTTGTGAATAAGACTCATCTGAAGACTACGGAGATACAACTGAGTGAATAAAATGCTCCAATTACTCTAAAATTTAATTCATACACGAATAGACCTACTGAAAAAAAAATAAAGACCAAGGCCAAGACGGTTCACTGGTAATTTTTGCAAATTACTTAAAACTAATATATCATCTTATCTAAACATTATTTTTAATGAATTTATATCAAAAGCTAAAATTCCAGAAGAGCTACGTAACCCCTTAAGGACACATGACATGTGTGACATGTCATGATTCCCTTTTATTCCAGAAGTTTGGTCCTTAAGGGGTGATATGTAATATCATTCCAATATTAAAAACCGTGAAGAACTCAGAAAAAGTGGAAAGTTATCGACCAATCTCTTTGTTAAACGAAGATATTAAGATCTATGCAGGAATAATGACAGATAGAATGAAGAAGGTTATTTGTTATTTAGTACATAAATATTAGGTGGGATTTATTCCAGGTAGATCTTCAACAAACCCCCCACCCTTTAGTAAATGACGGAAAGTTTTTAACACTGAAGTGCTTAACTGAAGGACAAGGTTGGCGGAAAATTTCCATCTGCGGTCAGGAAGGGGTTAATATACATTTCTATATTGTGTAAAGAAACAACTACAAAGTTAAAAACCAAACACCAAAACAATCTGCCAGACAATCTAAGTGCATGGCTAGTGTGATACAATAAGTCTACATCTTAAAAATACAATAACCCACAGAAGATGGGCGAGAATTTTCATTTTGCAAATGGAACTTTGATTCGAATTTACTACATCGGTCACTTGTATTATTATTTCACACCTACAACACTTGTTAAACAGATCTAAGTGATTGAAAACGGATTGATATTTTCTACACTAGAAACTACCAGATAACAAGCTGCTATATTTAAACCAGTTATCAATAGCTAAGAGGTACTTAAACAATATTGTAATTCTGGGGCAATACCCTCACAAGTCAAACTGACAGGTCAGTTTATAGGGAAAACTGTTGCCTGGATACAATTCTAAAACAATTTCCATATGTCCTTTGCAGACTTTACATGCTGGAAAAACACAGGTGCCAAATGCTGTGGCTTTCTGCAGTGTGCAGACCGGCAAGGAGGGCTCGGTTGAGGAGTGGGTGGAAGATCATGTGGAGGATGATGAGGTCCTAGACCCCACACGGAATGAAGGTCATGCGAGTGACGTGTGCAGTTTGGAGGAAGAGGCGGTGGTCGCACAGGGGCACCAGCACAGCATAAGAGGGATCAGGGTGCAAAAGGGGAGCGGCCGTCCCCTAGCGCTCGTCAGCATGTATTAGCTCTATAATTACCCCAGTTATCCAAGTAACAGATGGAGCGATCAAAGGAACCATAACTTATTTAATGAGCCATTTGCAGTTTCACTGTAGCAGCTGTGCGCGCTTTCGGCGTTCTCACCCTGCTGCTGCTCGCCTGTCTGCGCTGCAGCGTTACTTCGGCCTTCCCGCTCATCGCCTCATATGCGACGTGCCCACATGGTGGAACTCCACCTTGCACATGCTGGAGAGACTGTGCGAGCAGCAGCAGACGATAGCGGAGTTTCAGCTGCAGCACGCACGGGTCAGTTGCACTGCACCAGACTTGCCCTCCAATAGATCCTCGTTAAAGGATTTAAAGTGGACTCATTCCAATTACAGGGCCTGTAAAGAGTCCTGTATTGTTATTTATCGTCACTACCTCCCCGCGGGAGTGGGTAATTTGCGTGCCTGCTGCCTTCCTTAGATGTGGTAGCCGTTTCTCAGGTTCCCTCTCTGGAATCAAACCCTGATTCCCCGTTACCCATGGTCACCATGGTAGGCGCTGATAGTAACATCAAAAGTTAATAGGGCAGACATCCGAATGCGTCTTCGCTGCCACGGTCACCGCCCCCTCAACCTCCTACTCCACATCCACCTTCTTCTCCTAGAGCAGGGTGCAAAAGTGGAGCAGCCGTCCCCTAGGCAGTACGCCTGCTACTACCCACCACACCCAGGGACCAAGCACACCAAAGCCAGCTCTAAGGAGTTCCCTGCCGTGGCAGTTTGAACGAGGAGAACCCAGTCGATTCCTGTGGCACCTCCCGATAGGCAAACAGAAGATGGGGCAGGAATCTCTCTCAATCCTTGTGAGTCGCCGCAAAGGTACGGAGCCTTAGCTTTAACGTACCGTTGAAGCGCGCATACAGGCCATTGGTCTGGTGTTGGTAAGGGGAGCTCAGGATTGGTTTAATGTGCACAATCTCCACAGTTGGTGGGTCATTTCGGCAGTAAACTGGATGCCCTGGTCTGAGAGAATCACCTGGGGAAAACCCATCCGGGAGAACACTCGCATCAAGGCTTCAGCCACAGTCTCTGCCCGAATACTGCTCAGGGTACCGAGTCGCATAGTCCACGATGGTCAAAATGTACTTCTTCCCAGAGGGACTAGGCTTGGCTAGGGGACCTATAATGTCGACAGCTACTCTTCCGAACGGATCTTCACTAATAGGTAGGGGATGGAGGGGGGGCCCTGTTCCCCACTCTCTGGCAGACATCTGGCAGTACTGCCTCAGATCCTGAGAGATGCCTGACCAGAAGAAGCTTTGGGTGAGCGGAGACGCTGTCCAGCTCCTGCCCAAATGCCCTGCCAAGTGGATATCGTGAGCTAGCTTCAGCAGCTCATACCAATACTTCTTGGGTCTGGGGCTGGCGGTCTCTCACTGTGTCGTTGGGAAGCCCATTGAAAAAGTTCTCTAGCATGACAAGCTGGGTGATCTCCTCCGGGAACTTGGCTTGATGGGAGTTGAGCCAGTTCTGGGTGGCCTTTGTGATGCGACATTCCCACTCCGCATGGGAGTCCTTCTCCCCTTTCCGGGTCTCCCTAAACTTTCGGTGGTATTGCTCGGGGGTGACCGCATAGCGGGCCAGGAGGATTTGTGTAATAAAGGGATAGTCTCTGATCTGCTCTTCTGGTACAGCCCAGTAAATATCCGCTGCCTTCCCCACTAGTTTGCTGGCAAGGATGGTGACCCAGTTGCTGGAGTCCACGTCTTGGAGTAGGCACTGGTGCTCAAAGTCTTGTAAAAAGTCATCGATGCCTTCTTCTGCTTCCTTGAACTCTTTGAAGGCATTGCATGGTAGCTTGTGGGCCAGGGTGGTTGTGCTTCCCGGAGCCCTCTGCTCCCTTTTTCTGGGTTCATGGAGGTCGCCCTCTGTCTATTGGCAAGGACATAGGCTTGTACCTCCAAAAAGGTCCTGCTGGCGATCTCCTCTGAGGGTGGCTCTCGGAAATATGCCAGGCGCCGTTCCATCTCCTTTCACACTTTCTCCTTATCTCTGGCCCCTGGCTGGGGTTTGTTGCCTCACTGCATGCCTGGTCGTCCTCCATGAGCAGTCAATTTGGCCTTGTTATGCCCACCAGGCATTTTTCCTCTGGCTCCACACAAGTTCTGCTGTGTAGGTCGCTTTAGAGCACTGTAGTCCATGGGTCTGTTGGCAGGGACATGGCATCCCGCCACTTGCCACCAACTGAAGCAGGACCTGGGTAACCAATGGTTATCCCCTTTGATTAGAATAGATCAGACCCATTTCCCCAGTAACCGGATGGGACACAGTTCCAGGATACGACATTTGACAATCTTTATTTGGGTACACAGCTTTGAGGTACACAGCTACTGTTGCCTCCTTCTTCTCCGCTTCCTCCTCCTCTACCACCTCCTCATCCGGTCAGCGTAACACCTGTCAGGGTGGTGGTCCGGTGCCCGGGACCCAGACACTGTCCGGGCGGCGGTGGGAGGAACGGGACCCAGTATGCCTGATGTTCAGAGTAGGAGTCACAGTGGTAACCGCACGCCCCCTGGTGTTGAGTACCAGCGTTTGTGCAGCCACATACCAAAACCCTGATTCAGCTTATGCGGATCCCAGGAACTAGGAGCTTGGAATTAAGCAGACCTCCCAGGAGCTAAATAGGGAGGCTCTGCAGCAGCAGTGTATCCAGTACTGAAGCAAGGCAAGACTATAGATAGGCACCATACATGAAAACAAGACAAAACTAGGAGAACAAGGCAAGAGAGGCACCATACATGAAAACAAGACAAAACTAGAAGAACAAGGCAAGACTAGAGATAGGCACCATACATGAAAACAAGACAAAACTAATAGAACCCAGAACCGGAGCATGTACACAAGACATGAGGAAAACAAGAACAGGGCAGGACAGGACTGTACATGAACTAGGATTACAAAATAAAACAAGACAAGATATAATAGGCAAAACAAGAGGAGACATAACTAAGCACTATATATGAAAAATATGGGGATTTAGTTACATTATATAATCAGAGATTGCATAAGCCTGCCACAACGCCAATGTACCCCATATTCGGCAGGTCCTACACTGCCTAATGTTCGCTAAAAGAACCATACTAAACCACAATAGCACTTACCTGCAAGAAAGGGCAGAGACTTGAAACACTGCTGCAGGTCCAGACTGAAACAAAAGGAAAATGGAAAACAAACGTGTGTGGCAACATAAAACAAACATATAAAATGAAACCTGGACACTGGGAATTCCAGGGACGGATTACAGGAATGAACTCAGAAAAACCCAGCATAAAGAAAAAGAGACATAGAATAGAAAACCAAAAAACCAAGAAAAACTAAACAAGAATTGTAAAAAGTGTACTGGATACCAGAAACCAAAGCCAGACATCTCCGCAGAACATGGCATGATGTGCCAACACCTTCATCACCAACTTCAGCACAGCCAGGGGGAAACGACAGCAGGCTGTTTTAAAACTCACATGTTTTGGGGAAAAATCCTACACCGCGCAGGAGCTGTTGACAGGCATGGAACAACAGACCGATGAGTGGTTGTTGCCCCTGAGCCTCAAGCCTGGCCTGGTGGTGTGCAATAATGGACAAAATCTCGGAGCAGCTCTTTGCCTAGCCGGTTTGACGCACATCCCTGGCCTGGTTCATGTGCTGAATTTGGTGGTGCAGAAATTCGTGAAAAACTACCCAGATATATCAGAGCTGCTGCAGAAAGCGTGGGCCATCTGTGCGCGCTTTGGCGTTGTCACCCTGCTGCTGCTCACCTGTCTGCGCTACAACATAACTTCGACCTTCCTGCTAACCGCCTCATATGCGATGTGCCCACAAGGTGGATCTCCACCTTGCACATGCTGAAGAGGCTGTGCGAGCAGCAGCAGGCGATAGTGGAGTTTCAGCTGCAGCACGCACTGGTCAGTCGCTCTTTTGAACAGCACCACTTCACCACCAATGAGTGGGCCTCCATGCGAGACCTGTGTGCCATGTTGCGCTGTTTCGAGTACTCCACCAACATGGCCAGTGCCGATGACGCCGTTCTCAGCCTTACTATGTCTCCTTGAAAAAACGCTTTGGGTAATGATGGAAGAGTATGAGGCACAGGAGGAAGGGGGGGGGGAAGAGGGGTAATTTCCACAGTTATCAGGCCAGTCATTCACAAGTGGCTCGGAGGGTGGGTTCCTGTACCAGCACAGGCCAAGTACACAATTGTCCAGCATCTCCACACTGTCCCATGAAAATGTTCAGCTGTCCATCTCCCAAACACTGGAGAGAAAGTACCCCCCTACCCACCCGCGATCCATGGCCTTGAATGCCAGCATTTCAAAATTCCTGGCCTTTGAAATGTTGTCATTCTGTCTGGTGGAGACCGGCAGTTTTAAAAACCTGATGGCATTATTGGACTGCAAGAAATGCACCGCAGGCCGCAAATGTTTCTTTTTTTATATGTCCCAATATTCTGGGGACTACCTCAATTAAAAAAATAAAAATAAATAAAAAGCAGTGTTGGCTACCTCCTCCGCCTCCACCGCCGCTTCCACCTACACTGCCACGGTCACCGCCTCATCAACCTCCTACTCCACATCCACCTCCTCCTCCTAGAGCAGGATGCAAAAGCGGAGCGGCCGTCCCCTAGACAGTACACCTGCTACTGCCCACTGCACCCAGGGAACGAGCACACCAAAGCCAGCTCCAAGGAATTCCCTGGCGTAGCAGTTCTTCAGACAATGTGCTGACGACAAGACACTAGTGGTTTGCACGCTGTGCAATCAAAGCCTGAAGCGAGGCATAAACATGCATGACCAGGCATCAGGGCTGCCACCAGAAATTTTGGGGCCCCTGACAAAGCACAAGGTCTGGGCCCCCCTGCCTGGCCCGTCCACGAGTCCGCCCACAGGACTCCTACCTAGTCCGCTGCAAAAGATGCAGGACTGAATGTGGAAGTGAATTAGAATGTGTGTAATGGATGTAGCGTTTGTGTGTATTAGATACTGTTTGTGCAGTGAATGCAGAATGTATGTTTGTGTAGCGGATGCAGTGTGTATAGTGAACGCAGAGTGTGTTTGAGTAGTGGATGCAGTGTGTGTTTGTGTAGTGGATGTAGTGTTTGTGTGTACTAGATGCCATGTATTTAGTGGATGCAGTGTCTGTAGTGGATGTAGTGTGTGTATTAGACGCAGTGTCTCTGTATAGTGAATGCAGAGTGTTTGAATGTGTGGTGGATGTAGTGTGTGTATTGTGAATACAGGATGTTTGTGTAGTGGATGCTGTGTGTATAGTTAATGCAGAGTATGTGTTAGTGTAGTAAATGCAGAGTGTGTGTCAGTGTAGTGGATGCAGTGTGTGTTAGTATAATGAATGCAGAGTATGTGTTAGTGCAGTGAATGCAGAGTGTGTGTCAGTGTAGCGAATGCAGAGTGCGTGTTAGTGTAATGAATGCAGAGTATGTGTTAGTGTAGTGAATGCAGAGTGTGTGTCAGTGTAGTGGATGCAGAGTGTGTGTCAGTGTAGTGAATGCAGAGTGTGTGTCAGTGTAGTGAATGCAGAGTGTGTGTTAGTGTAATGAATGCAGAGTGTGTGTTAGTGTAGTGAATGCAGAGTGTGTGTGTGTGTGTGTAAGTGCAGTGAATGCAGAGTGTGTGTTAGTTTAATGAATGCAGAGTGTGTGTTAGTGCA